TGAACGGTGCCATCCCTCTCCATTCACTTTCAGGTCAGCACTGGCTGTCCTTGTGCAGAGCTGACTGAGCAACAGCACTCTGGGAAGCACTATTGGAAGCACATGGATCACAGAGCCTGCCGTCAGGTGTAGCTGAGAGCCCTGTGCAGGTAGCACCGCCAGGCCTGCCTGCCACACCACCTCCAGCGCCGCACAGCAAGGACTGAGGATCCCAGTAGCAATGAGGTGGATGCCCTTGTGTGCAGAGAGCAGCTGGGGTCTTGCCAACGTAATCCTTAGCCCTAGGGAGCACTGTGCCACTGGAGCTGTTTGTAAGGTGCTGCCAAAACACTTGAAGATGGTTGGAGCCTTCACCATAAAGAGACAACTTGTTATTAGCATCAGCAGTCGTGCTGTGTTTTCTCTAAGTGATGAGAAAGATTGGGCAGAGTGCAAGCAACCTATGGATATGCTGAAAAAAACACAGGCAGGCTTGGAGACGGTCTGGCAAAAGTAACTTCACGATTTAAATGTTGGATCATTTCTTCTTCAAAGGGAAGGATGTTTGTGGAGCCAGGCCTGACTCTACAGGATGGTAACCAGGAATACATTTAATAATGTCTGCTGTTTGCTGGCATTACAAGTCCCCAGTACACACAGGCATCATTAACAAGTGTGAACAGAACAGAAGCTGTTAGTCTTTGCAATTAAACAGCTGGCAGGGCTGACGTAAGAACTCCAAAGCCGTCATGCAGCCTCCAGTTATTGCTTTTGAGTGACATATTTAGGTCTGTTTTACAGCCACAGAGAAAAGTCTGGGCAGTGCAACCCCCTCTTTCAGCATGTCTGTCCATGTTGGAGCGCACACACCACGGAGAGGCTAAACACAGAGGCTCCCTCCTCAAAGCAGGCATTTCCTTGTGTATGAGCAAAGCCCCTTCTGCTGTAACACCTCAGCATTTTTCTAGAAGTGTGACAGATCCCCTGAGTGCTATTCTTGCCCCAAGAACTAAGCTAAGCTGGTTTTTTTGTTGTTTTGTTTCTAATAAGTATCAGATTAGCAGGGCTATTTTAGAGAAAGTCTGGTGTAGTCCAGCAAAAAAAAAAATTATGTGTTGAAGAAAGACTTCTGTGTGTATTTAACGTGTGTTGGCAGCCTGTATGCATACTCGTGCCTCAGCAAAGTCCTGGTGCTAGGGAAGGGGAAAGCAGCTCAGGACAGCTGCAGCTGCTCATAGCAAAATGGGAATATGGCTCTAGCAACCCCCAGCAGCACTTGGCTCCTGATCCTGGCCTTTGGGGAGACTCAATTGCCATATAGTGTTTGGATATACCGATTTCATCTAATTTCATTGCTTAAAGCCCTCTGCAGTGACATCGGAAGTTTCAGATCAGATGACTGTAAAAACTAAACTCATAGGGTATCAAAAACTGCTGCAATTCTGCTCCAGTTCTGCCCTGAACACTCATATACAAGGTATGCAAGCACATAAGACCAGAAACTCAGATCCTATAAAGATTCATGTCCATCAGGGAAAACATTAATTCTTGTCCCCTACAGCAAGGAGCTGACTACAATGCTCCATGAAGGAGGTCGTTTGTATTGGACAAAGTTGGAATGCTTTGTTCTGACCTGCATGAGCATTTCTTTGGTATTTTGGACCTGCATTTATTCGTATCTTTTCAGTGGATCCCCTTACAGTTTACGTATCTTACTTGTTACCCTTGGGTGTGCCTGGGTGAGCTCTGAGTTACTCCACAAGGATAAATTCTCAGTGAGAGATGAGAGTTTAGCACAAGAAAAATACTGTACAGCCTCATCAGCCACGGTTGCATGTTGCTTGGCAAGACAAGATAGGACTGTTAGAACATTTGCTGCCTTTGGTAAATGAGAGATGATTTTTGTTTACACCATTTCCTGAACATTTTTCTGTATGCATTATTTTGTTAAATCAGGAATATGAACATTAGATTAATCAGCTTCATGGCATCCTGTCAACAAGCACTGGTAAAAAAACACGAACATATGTAACATATTGCAATACTCTCATTTTAAAACGTGAGGCAACAATGTTACACATCTCAGATAAAATCATAAAATCCTGAACTGCTGATTCCAGCATGTCCCTGCATTTCCTCAGGAACAAGACTTCAGATTCCAAATTCCAAGCTTATCAAACGTAGAGTCAGAAGAGATAAGGAAAATAGAGGGAGTCTCGCTACTGTTTTCCAAACCTTTATTGCTTTGCTTTCAGGGCTGAAAGAAGGCAAATACTCCACCTCTGTGCTGAATTGCAACAGCATTTTTCCCAAAGCCCGTAGCTGTAAGGAACCTCTTGCACAGCAGCAGGGCAGAACAGACTCTTTGGTGCCTATCAGAAATGTCCGAGCAAACACACCTAAGACCATTTGCAAAGGCCAACTATTTGATAAACAGCATTTTTCCTCATTATCTCTGGCATCACTTGAGGGCTCAGCAGGCAGGCTTTTACACGCTTAATTCGTCAACTCCTCCGCTTCAGCCTACAGGTGCCATATTTCATGCTGCCTTACACTGTGCCTACCCCATGCATACTATTCCATAGTGCAAAGTCAGAACCACCGTGCATGTAGAATACAGACTTTCTCTTGCCACATTTTACCAGCTTATGCTGCAGAAGAAAAGGGTGGAGTCTTTACCTAGAGCAGCCACTAAGAAAGCTCCACCAAGGACAATCAGAAAACAAAAATCTCTTTTCATGAAGATCTACATCTGAAAGAGCATCAGACAGACTTCTCCAGAAAATTGCTTCCCCTGCCTTTTCCCATCCCAAACCCTTTTTATTACTTTTTGACTGATTTTTCTTGGCTCCTACACTGACTCATGCTGATCTTCCTAGGTGGGCTCTGTACAACCTTCCCAGCTCTTTTATTCCTCTTGTTTTCCTGCCAACAAATTATTCAAGTTTTACGAAAGGCTTCTTTTTTTTTATTCCACAACCATTTTCTCTTGATCCAAAATGAACTTAAGCTCAGCAGTTGCTTTATTTTTTTTTTTTTTTTAATGCAACATTTGTACTGCCAAATGCCTTAAAAATTTATTTTAGCCTTCTCTGTTTATTTGAAAGCTGCTCCTTCTGAGAGGTTTGAGAATCACGGCGTTACCATAGTTTCCTTATCCATGACCAATAAAATGCAATTTGGAATAAAATGCAACAAGGACAAGACTGCTCAGCAGACTTCACTAAACAACTGGACATTGGTGTCTACACTCTAGATTGCTCCTAGTGTTAGTACTGGAAATAGTTAGGATTAATCTGCACCCAGATTCTGGTCCAGCAATCAAACTGAAGGCTCATGCTTTTCTGATTCCCAGCTATTGGAGATGGTTCAGCTCCAGCACTTAAGATTTCCCTTCATGTAAAACCCGTACCCCACAGATTTAGTATTTCACCTCTGAGAGATTTTATGTCACTGCACTCTTTTGTTCCAGGAAGTAATTGCACAGGAAAGCACTGTGCTAATGCTCAGCAAAGGTAAGTGATGGATTCATTACCCCTAGAAATCTGTTGACAAAGTAAACGATGTACTGCCTGTTCTTACAGCTTTGTTGGCCCCCGAACAGGCAAGCTTCTAGGAAATGTGCCAGAGATAAACTAGTCTCTTCCAGTCAACCAGCCAACAAACCCACACATACTTCAAAGAGGATACAAATGATACCTGCTTTGGACGCATCCACTTGTTTTCCTTATTGGGAGTTATATGATGGGATTTTACTCAAATAAAATGAACTAATAAAAAAAGAAAACCAAATGTCCTCAATAACAGAGAACGATGGAGAGAAAAACACAACATATATGATGGTTACAGAGATCTACTGCCAAGTTAAATAGTTTTTCTGATTTTAAAGAGCTGTGAAGATTTCCTTTAACAATAAAGCGCAAATAAAAGGAAAGAAAGAAAATATTTTGCATTCCCCTTTAAAAAAGAAAAAAGAAAAAATATCGAGAGGACACTCATGTTTCATGAGCCACAATGAAGAGAGTTGCCAAGTCAAAAAGCTGAATGGCAGGAAGGCCAAATTCTTCCATGACAATCTCAGCACACAGTATGGGGTTGTCTTCTGTGGTGCCTGGGCCTCTATCAAAAACATATCAGGTTAAAGGGAGAGAATGCAACTCAACAAACGCAATACACAGGTAAGCTGCATTTCCTTTCAGTGTAGCACACTGGGTGCAAGAAATTAAGAAAAATTAAAAAATTACTGAAGTTAAACTTCTTCTGTTTAGGGCAAAACCAATCAAAACTGCTGAGGTTAAAGCGAAAGCTCTGGCCACGGTTTGACAATTGCTACATGCAAACAACATGGGAAGAAAATACAGCAAGTCTATTCCTTACCCCAACATCCCAGGGCCGCAGTCATGAATTCTGAGCACAAGCAGCAGGAAAACTGCTCAAAGAATATTTGCTGTTTTGAAGAAAAGATGTTATCCTCACAATGCAGTTCACTTTTGGAGATCTCAGGCCACGATCACTGTGTGCATGTGACATACAGGCACTGAGCTTCAGTCAACATCATCTCAGTTATAGCTCAGCCACAAGAAAACGTAACAAATATCTTATCCCTGCCTTCTCATTTAGTGAAGGTCATGTAAAAGTACCAATGTATGGGGAAGAGAAGAACGTCTGTGTATGTATGAGCGTAAGAAACGTGCTTCACTCTTCAAACAGAAAAGCTTATTAATTCACCCCATTGAAAAAGCACTCTGTGTTAACAGGATGCCAGTTCTAATGCATTAGACAATACCATTAGACTTCTGCAGAAAAAAAATAATCCTAGATCCTATTATTACGTTGCTCATTGTCCTTCACTCCTAGGGAGAGTGCCTTCAAGGAAAGCTCAGATCCCACCATTAACCAGCTTTAAGTGACATTTGAAGACTTATCCTCTCTGCCAGGACCAGTATGGTCCTGAATCCATCTTACAGTTCACGACTGACATCATTCCTCCCCCTGCCCACCAGAAGCTGCCAGCACAGTACCTCGTTGATGGCGAGCTGCTCTCCTCCTCCCCCAGGGTGGCCATAGCGGTGGTTGGAGCTGCGGAAGTCCTCGTACAGATCCTCCTCACTTCCCACATCATCTGTCAGAGCTGTCTTGTCCAGGGCTCCATCAGCAATCACTGCAACAGCAAAAAGAACTCATTGGTTATACACCACAAGGTCCTCAGAAGTGCTGCACCAATAATATGAACTTGGTAGGGGTAAGGCAGGCAGTAACAGCATAGAGAAGAGACAAGGAAACTAGACATGCCTGTGACAAAGAACGCAAATGTGATTTTACAGAAAAAATGGCAAGGTAAAAGGCTTGTGTCTGCCAATTCAGGCCAGGGAAACTCTAAGCCTTTGGAAAACATTCACCTTCCTCTTTGTCCACCCATTCAGTTCAAGAACCCCCTTCGTTCCCTAAAAGAGCGCTTGCTATAGAGGTATCTTCTAGCAGCACCAGCACAGAAGGGCTGCTCTGCATGAAGTAACATGGAATAAGCTGCAGGTCGCTGAGGCTCAGCAGTCTGCAAAGAGCACCTGCACTGAAGTCTCAAGACACAAGCATGACACTGAAAAAATGATATCCACACTTGTCTACTCTTGTTGCATAGAAGAAAATGGCAATTCCTCTCTTTCATGGGCAGGAGCCTTTTTCTAAGGTCTCCTCAAGAAATACAAAAGAGAGCAAATACACTTGAGAGCAAGTTGATGATTCATCCCATACCTGCCTAGGCAAGAGTTCTCAAAATCTGTGAAAAATGCTAATGATTAAAGAAAACATTTGAAGTCATATTCTTCTGGAATAGCAACTGCTAGAAAAATAGTTTCCATGACAAAGAAGTGGGCTTCACAGAAAATTTCCATGCATGAAATAAGCAGCTAATAGAAAGACACACATGATGCAGAGGACAGCAGCTGATGTAATTAATAATTTGAGTTTAACAGACTTTACATGGCTTCTCTATAGGGACTGAGTGAAGTGAAAATACAGACACTGCCATCATTACTCCTGTCAAAGTTATATATCATGTCATACTTAAAACGTTTGCAGAACAAGTGAAATAACAGCATTTAGGTTGATCCTGTACAGCTTGGAGAAGGAAAGCATTGGTTGGACTGATTTTGAGCTCTCACTTCATTCCATTTGTGGCAAGACCTACCAAACATCATCCTTGCCAATGCTTTCCTTACATGTGAAATTGTTCATTATACATTAAGGCTGTGTCAAAAATATGCTAAATAAGAGTGAGGTGTAAATTCACTCTAGCATCGATCAGTTCAGTGCAGTTACTTAACTTTTGCATGACAAGTTTATGAGCTGCTTTTGAACTAAATATTTATTGAATGCAAAATATAAACAATCAAATACAGCACTGCAGAGATATTCATCACCTGAACCTGGAAACTCATCCAAGACTAATGGAAGCTCAGGACACAGAGGTGAACAAGAGCTTATAATGAAAGCAGAGCTTTCTAGGTCAAATAGAAAAGAAGCAAGAATGATACAAAAATCTTTGAAGACAAGTCGGGAAGAAAATATTGCAGAGAAAGAGGAAGAACAGAGAAAGCATGAACCACTTCTCCTTCACTCAGAACGATCATCTATCTTAATCTAGGAAAACATTGTAGCTTCTCTCTAGTTAGAAAATGATGTCCTTAACCCTTCGTTCTCAGCAAGGAGCTTAATGGTACCTAGCTTGAGGCTTTCATCAGGTAGCATTCTTTTCAATTCCTGCTGAGCCATGATCTAACACAGTTCTAGTCTCTATGCCTTGATTTGACCTGCCTCTCAAAAAAGAGTCAAGTTCCTTCTTCCACTCCTCTTAAAAAAGACAAGTCCGCATGCACATACTCCGCCAAAAAAAGAAATCCATAATCACTCAGAAGTTCTCAGTCCTTTAAGACAGAATGGTCCAAGATAGTCATTAGATGTTTTCCCACAAACACTATGTTCCAGGGAAGGACTGAAAAAAGACCAGAATTTGCACTGAAGCAACTTACATGGGAGAAAAGATTACAAGCAAATAAAACAACAGTCTGAAACAGTGACCCATTGCACTAAAAATCCATCAGGGAAGTGGGAGAATGAAGGCTTTAAATGTAGGTAATGACTCAACATGCACAGTATAAACTAGGTCAAGTAGAAAAGAAGCAAGAACCGTACAAAAATCTTTGAAGACAAGTTAGCTGAAATGGCTAAAACAGTCTATCAGCTTCTCAACTGCACAGTACTAGTAGGACAGACAAGTATTTTACTGTGCAGGAGTTTGTCTGGGTGCCATACTTCCCCTCCCCTCCAAATGTTCATCTCCATGTCACACTGCAATCCACTGATGTGGCCGCAGCTGGCTTCTGTGTCCTCCCAAAGCCACAGATCTGACCTGGCAGTGGCAATCAGACAGCAGAGAGCAACACTTAGTTAAAAATAACACTGAGCTCCAAGTTACATCCAATTAGCTCAAGCAGATTTCTCCACATTTCATACGGCTGTCATGCTAGATTCTGTTAAATATGGCAACAAATCCCATACAGAAGAATGTAGGGAGGGGGTGTCACAAACAGTGGTACAAAATTCTTCTCTGCAAGCATTACAACTCTGTATTCTGCTGTTGTTAATCGAGGAGCATGCTCAGAATTCATGGTACAGGAGCACAAAAGCTGATGGATAACATTTCCAATGCCAACTGACAAGAGTGTGCACAAACCCTTTTTTTGTATTTGAATAGAGAGTAAGGTGTCTGCACGAGGAATAACCTTAAGGACACAGAGCAGTGAGACCATCCTGGAGAAGAGCATGGGTAAATAAGGCTTGATCAAAACGGAGGAATGAGGTACATGGTTCATTCTCACACTGCTCTACATGCCCTGCAGCTTGGGGCTTCCCACAAAAGGACACTGCTCACAGGGGGATGAGCTCCTCCTGCATGGCCCTGCCAGCCCAGCCTGCTGGCTGCACCCTGCCTGTAGGGTCACTGCTGCCCCTGGGCCGTGGGAATGGCATGCTTGCTGTCTGCAGGGACCTGCCTGCATGTACGGTGCTTGCTTGTTCCTGGGACTCATCAGCTGACTTGAGCCTGGAGAACAAGAGAGCCTAACAGAGAGTGGTGGAGAGGAAAAGAGGAGTGGGGCCTTGTGATGTTCATCTTACAGACGAGTAGCCAGAAGTTGCTGGCTGATACTTGCCGAAGGGCTGAATGGCACTGAGTGATGAGGAACAGCAAATATGTTCCAGAGACCCAACGAGAGATGAATTTGCTCACCAAATCATAGCTCCTCTCCAAAAGCAAGGACCTGCTTTACACATTCTAAGTGCAAAGAATTAGTGAACACAAGACACAAATAGCTAGAAAGCCCAAACCCAAAAACCTAGAACCATCAAAACAGATTCCCACCCTCTCTGGAGAAACAGGATATATCTCCAGCACAGCCTCCCCAGAGCAGCTGGGCCCCAGGCACAGCCCACCTCATACCAGAGAGCTCTGTGCCTCTGGAGTTTTGGCTCAGCAGGACTGAACCCTGGGGCTGCCTGTTGGCGGGGAGCTCCTGCCATGGTCTGGCTCACAGCCCTCAGCAGGAACCCAGAACTGATGGAAAATAGGTCACAGGCAGCTCTCCCAAAGCCAGCCAGCCCGCAGCTTTTGGGGTGAGGACAGGAAACAAGGAATGGCTGCAGCCAGCTTTGGAAGCCAACAGCATCCACAGTTTATTAAAAGTACATATTAATGACAAAGAGAACAACAACTGTGTACTGGAAATATCTCTCTTCAAGTATGCTCTTCCAGCGTCGCATCCACACATTTGTCTCTATGTGGCATTTACATTTAAAATAATTCACTGGAATAACAGTAGGAGCCCGATTTACACTCACAGAGCAAATTAATTCAGAGCTAACAACATCATTCCCACCGCCTCACTGAGCAGAGAAGGCTGCAGTTACGTGCACCCGCAGGGAGCTGCAGCTGGAGGAGGGGAGCTCAGGAGATGCAACACACCAAGCAGACAGAAGGGTTGTGTGAGGTGGGAAACAAACCTGGGAGCCCCTGCACAGGTGAAGAACAGCCCTCCACCTTCCTCTCTTTGCCATAGCTGCCACTGCTGTGCTGCAGCACCCACCCACCCCACTCTGAATGGCGTGCATCATTTATCAGCTGCTTGATCTACACAGGTCCCTGTGCAGCTGCCACAGTGAAATCCATCAGTGATGTCATCCCACTTCTGCCCCAGCAGTGCCATTCTGCAGCTCTTTGCTGTGCTGAGGGATCCTCTCACGTCGTCGTGCTTATGGCTGTGGGCTGGTTTAACAGGAAGAGGGAAGGACAGGGGGGATTTAGCAAAAAGCAGACAATGACCCATTAGTATGAACTTCATAGTGGGAAACAAACCAACAAAAAGCAACACCACAAACATGGGCCTGCAACGCCAAGCCTTACAGAGCCTAAGACCTTTGTGATTACATTACATTTATGAACAGGTAACGAAAGTGAATCTGCAGGGGGGAAAGAAAAGTAAAAATAGAGCATAAGGAAGAGAGGCAGAAAATATTTAAGGGGAGAAAGCACGCTTCATCTTCCTATAATAAAGAAAAATTAATAAAGGAAAGTGCTCAGCATATCAAAATGAAATCAGCAGTTTGGTACAATGCCACTAATGGCATTCCTGTTGTGAATGAAATCAGTTCCCAATTAGCCAAAGCAATGAACGAGTCCCCAACTGAAACCAAAAGGAGACAGACAGCTCTTCAACTCTGCAGGTCACCCATGGTAACTCTCACCACCAATAATGTGCTGAGTCACCCACCCAGGTTTCAAAAAGTTTTCAAATCCCACTTAGGAACTGAATGACTTGCAGTGAGGTTTAAGAAAGAGCTCTCGGCTCCCTCAGTCAGCAGAGATATGGGGAAAAGGGGTGGCTCTACAGCTCTGCCTCCCACGGTAGCCCTTGCTCCGTGCCCACCATGCCCTTGTGCAGCACACCTTGCTCACTGAGCTACATTGCAAGTGGGAGGGATGGGGGAGCAGTGTAATGGTGAAATTGTGAAAATGGTGGGAAAAACAGATAGAAAATAACATAAACCTATGGTCCTGACACAAAGCATGCTCCTTTGTTGGAAAGCACCTCTGCTGAACAAACAACT